TCTCATGAGAATTTTCTACCACCTCGATTTATCTCGCCACACAACTTGGGCTCTAATATCACTGTTAGGGATTATTGAGAACAATACCAAAGGCCCAAGCCCATACCACCAACCTCAAGTGAGGTTCCATCCCAAAACCAATTGGTAGAGGGTGGAATAACCCACTTGGGTTATAAGGTGGATTTTTTTTTTTTCACAATCGATGTGGCATACTTGTTTGCTCCAACAAGAACATTTCAATAGAAAATGACTGATACTCGACTAGTAAAAATGCTAAACTTACTTTTTCTTGTTGCATAAATTGACAGTCAAGAATACCTTGGGAAAGAAGTGAGTTTCAAAGAGGCTACATTGATAGTGAGAAAATCTGGGAATCAAATGAAAAAGGTGACGTTGAAATAGCAGGAAAAGTGGTTACAGCCGTGACAGAATCAGAGGACACATGGGCATCGGCTTCTGATTTGAAAACTCGAATACATGAAGATGGAAATGTTATATTAGTTCAAACTTGAAGTTCCATCTTTAAAAAGTCAACTTTATTAAGAAAAGTAATTCAAGTCTCGTATCTAATCGATGTGACATTTATTCCTTAACAGCCCGCATGATGATGGGTCGATTGACAAAACTAATCTTGAAATTTGTGTACTCGTTTAAATTTTAATAGGAAAGAAGCGCATGTTGGAGCTTAACAGAGGTTTAAATTCTTGTATGTTGATTAATATTTCAAGATTTAACATATGCGGGATTTATCCCTCAACATAAAACTCATTTCTACCGTGATTATATTTTGACATCTTAAATTTGACTTCGATAATTACTGTTATCTGAACTCTTGAATTTGCAACCATAATATGCAAAAATCAAGTTGCACGAAAAACAATAATATTAGGAAAAAAAGTACAACATACCAGCAATTTAATGTAGTTGAACCCAATAGCTAAAAACAATCTAATTATTATAATTTGTTCTTAAATTCAGAATCTGCAAATCTTGCAAATTATTATAGATTTGCCTAGGGAAAGTTGCACAGTTTCACAATTATTTGCCTCGCATAATACTTAAAAGAAGAACATGTAAAAAACTACAATGGATATAAATCCAACCACCTTTCAATCATGGCAAGACATTCTTTAGGGTACTCATACGCAGCTACATGACCTCCTCCCTGCAAATCAAACTTCCTTTTTAATCACCTTTTAATTTCTATGTTACATAAGAGAAAGAGCATAATCAAACTTCTCTTGCCTTCACTGTTGCAAATGTGAGAGAGAAATCCTTGTTCACGTATTTCTCTGTGTATCTGCAAAGGAGATAAAATTGTAGTGCTTTATTATATAGGAATCATTTAATGAGCATCTGTGCTCATTTAATTCTAAGCACCGGTGACATGACATATCAATTTATTGGTGGATAACAAATTTAACTCAAATCATAATATTCACCAATGAATTGATGTGTCATGAGATCAATACTTGGCATAAGATGAAATCAATACTCATTAGATAATCTCTCTCTCTCTCTCTCTCTCTCTCTCTCTCTCTCTTTTATATATATATATATATATGAATAATATTACTATTCAGAATTATTAGGATTAGGTGAAAGATATGACTAACTAATTTCTTGACCAAAATGTCATTGGACAAATCACACGAGTGTCCATACAACTATTTGACTGAGCAAATGGATGAAATAAGATGACATGGGTGATTTGTTCAAATAAAGGACCCATTTAATCTTTACAAAGTCATTTACAATGGGTAGGAAACCCGAACCATTGACTTTTACAGCTCAACTTAGGCCAAGAAATTGCTAATGCGAAATAAAATACATAGATGTGCAACAATGGCAAGGGAAGCGCATGAGGACAATAACATGTGTACCCCTTATATTGATGACCTTTTCTCCCCTTCGATTCCAGATGTAGACTTGTTTTTGTTTTTCACCTTTCTAAGAGCCTCCTGCAGACCTAACACGATTAACAAGTTTGTCAAAGTGAGTAGAGACTCAGCTCCACCGTGCAACCAATCTACATTGGACAAGGATGTTCCATAATGCACCTTTGCTGTCCCAAGAGCCATGTTCTAAAATGTGCGAAAATGCGCCGCCTATGCGCGCCTAGGCGCGATGCGGGTGGAAAATGCTTCAAATTCGGGGTATGTGCTAAAAATGCGTTTTTGTTCTAACAGGCGGTGCATTATCCCACCTAATCCCTTCTTTTTTTTTCGTAAATTTTTTTTTATGATATATTAAAAAATCTATTTTTTTATATAAAAATATATTTAATACCTTAAAAATAATTAAAATAATATTAAAAATACATTGACACGCCTAAACTTGTGTCTCGATTCTCGACATTGACGCCTCGCAACGCATTACGCCTTTTAGAACATTGCCCAAGAGTACAAAATAAAGAGATTTTATTACAAACTTTATGTTGAAACTAAAATAAGAGGTTTGCTAATTGCTTCATATAGTTATTGGACTAAGTGTTGTTGAGGAAAAGTTGCTGTATATTCCTACTGGTACTGCACGGTGGAGGCAATGCTGCAAGGACAGGCAAGGAAGGTGTCAATTAGTAGTATAAACATTTAAAATACTAAAACAACAAATGAATTTCAAAACGCAATTAGAAGTCTAAAGTCTTCCTCGTCAATCCTATTCTAAGGTTCGAATGCATGTATCACGCTTTTGGAAAGACTAGTAAGACGCACATGCAATGCACGTGTCATAGTATATTTGGTTATATGATAGCGTAAATATAAAAAAAATTTATTTGTCTT